TACTCTGTTAGAAAAGTGAACTACTCTGCTAGGGAAAGAAATCAATCTGTTAGGAAAGTAAGCTACTCCGTTAAGAAAGTAAACTACTCTGTTAAGAAAATAAAATACTCTATTAGGAAAGTAATCTACTCTGCTAGGAAAGTGAACCACTCTGTAAGAAAATTAAACTACTCTATTAGGAAAGTAAACTACTCTGCTAGGAAAGTAATCTACTCTGTTACGAAAGTAAACTACGTTGTTAGGAAATTTCTCTGTTAGGAAATTTCTCTGTTAGGAAATTTCTCTGTTAGGAAAATAAACTGTTCTGTTAGGAAAGTAAATTACTTTCTTAGGAAAGTAAATTACTTTCTTAGGAAAGTAAACCACTCTGTTAGAAAAGTAAACTACTCTATTGGGAAAGTAAACTACTTTGTTAGGAAAATAAACTGCTTTGTTAGGAAAGAAGGTTGAACTATTCTGTACGGTTAGGTCAGGTGGTCCAGGTTACAATTAACCGATGCTCGGAATTGCGTAACGCCTCCTCATTCATTACAAAGTCAATTTCATTAAACTGTAGACCATTATCATCCATAGACAAAAATATTCAAACTTTAGACAAAAATAATTATCATATCTTTACTTTATGTAGAATTGGAAATAATTGGATTTTGACAAGATATTTTTGCAAGAAAAAATTCTTAATAAAACCCGGATTACTGCGAATACCTGAATTTAATCTAAACCGGATTACTGCGTAAATTTAAAATGACCCAGGATTACTGTGTAATGTGTATCTCTGAAATTAACCCGGAATTACTGCGTATACCTGAAATGATCTAAAATTGCGTGTTGATGATGAACCAAAGCTTTTATTAAAGTAAGTGTTAGTTCCACATTTTCCCCGGCTTACCACGTATACCTGAAATGACCCCAAATTGCTGCGTATATCTGAAATGAACCCGAATTACTGTGAATACCTTAAATGACCCCGGATCACTGCGTAAACCTGAAATAAACCCAGATTACTGCGTATCCCCGAAATGAACCCGGATTACTGCGTATACCTGAAATTATCTCGGATTACGGCGCATACCAGGAATAAACCTGAATTACAGCGTTCGCTTGAAATGACCCCGAATTATTGTGTTGACTTGAAATTACCCTGGATTACTGCGTATACCTGAAATGACACCGGATTAATGTGTATACCTGAAATGACCCTGGACTACTGCGTATACCTCAAATGACCCCGGATTACTACATATACCTTAATGACCCCAGATTTCTGTGTATACTTGAAATGACCCCAGATTACTGCGAAATTTGAAATGACCCCGAATTACTTTGTTTACCTGAAATGACCCAGGATTACTGCATTTACCTGAAATGACCCTGGTTATAGCGTTTACCCGAAATAATCCCGGATTACTGCGTATAACTGAAATCACCCTGGATTACTGCGTATAACTGAAATGACCTCGGATTACTGCATTTACCTGAAATGACCCCGGATTACTGCGCATAACTGAAATGACTTCGGATTACTGCATTTACCTGAAATGACCCTGATTATAGCGTTTACCCGAAATGACTCCGGATTACTGCGTGTACCTGAAATGACCCCGGATTACTGTGTATACCTGAATGAAATGATCCCGGATTACTGCGTATGCCTGAAATGACCCCGGATTACTGCGTACAGTTTAAGTATTTAATTGCCTGGTGTCTGAATATACCATGGGTGTTCTGGATCCAGGGGCCAAGCAGGGCTTTTAATAATTTCAAAACTAGAAAAATCATTATTTTGATAAATTTAAAATTAGATTGCTTCTTTATTTTTTATAATTTTATTGAAAAATTAAATTTGGTTCGGTTTGATGTTTTAGAAGCTGTTTATTATCTTTACTTTACTTTTTTACATTTTTTTATACAAATTTTGCAATGAAAAAAAAAACAATATACCTATTCTCCATGAAAATCTTTAATACTCTCAAATATCTTCTGCCTCCAAAAGTAAAGAACCCCTGACAAAGTATTAAGTGCCCCTGAAAAAGCCCTGACAGAGTTTAGCACAATTATCTGAGTTTAGTAAAATCCCATTAGGGAAATTAAACACTGTAATAAATTAGGTTTGGTCGTGACAGGGGTAGTTTGACCCCCTGCCAGCAAGCCTGGGGGGGGGGGTTAGAGGACCCACCTCCTCATCCTTTATTCTTAACAACAGAAAATTGTAAAACCATGCAAAGATTTAAACTGTTTACAAGAGGAAGAATACAAAAATATAGACGCTAAGAACAGAAATTTAAAGGAATAAAGAAAAAGGAGAAAATATGTATGAGAAGAATGAAGTAATGAGTAGAAGGATTTAATAACAAAAAATGAAAAGAAGAAGAAGAAAAAGGAGAAGATATGCATGAGAAGAATAAGGTGAAAAGAGACGGCTTTAATAACATAAACTGAAAGAAGAAGAAGAAAAAAGAGAAGATATGTATAAGAAGAATGACATGAAGAGAGGCGGGTTTAATAAGATAAACTAAATGAAGAAGAAGAAAAAAGAGAAGATATGTATAGGAAGAATGACATGAAGATAGGTGGGTTTAATAAGATAAACTAAAAGAAGAAGAAGAGAAGATATGAATGAGAAGAATAAGGTGAAAAGAGGGGTGTTTGAGAACATAAAAATGAAAAGAAGAAGAAGAAGGAAAAAAGAGAAGATATGTATAAGAAGAATAAGGTGAGGAGAGGCGGGTTTAAGAACATAAACATGAAAAGAAGAAGAAGAGAAAAAGGAGAAGATATGTATGAGAAGAATAAGGTGAAGAGAGGCGGGTTTAAAAACAGAAGAAGAAGGAAAAAAGAGAAGATATGTATAAGAAGAATAAGGTGAGGAGAGGCGGGTTTAAGAACATAAACATGAAAAGAAGAAGAAGAGAAAAAGGAGAAGATATGTATGAGAAGAATAAGGTGAAGAGAGGCGGGTTTAAAAACATAAACATGAAAAGAAGAAGAAGAAAAAGAGAAGATATGTATAAGAAGAATAAGGTGAAGAGAGACGGGTTTAATAACATAAATGAATAGAAGAAGAAGAAAAAAGGAGAAGAAATGTATGAGAAGAATAAGGTGAAGAGAGGCGGGTTTAATAACATAAATGTCCAAGTGTGGATCATAAAACGTCCACACACAAATATTAACATAGAAAGAAGGGTTGGGAGGGGATAAGAGGGGTTGAGAGGGATTGAGAGAGCTTGGGAGGGGTTAGGAGAGCTGGGAGGGGTTGAGAGTGGTTGGGAGGTAGTTGAGAGGGGTTGAGAGGTGTTGCGAGGTGTGAGAGGCGTTGAGTGTGTTGAGAGGAGTTGAGAGGAATGTTAGGGGTTGGGAAAGGTTGGGAGGGGTTTGTAAAGGTTGAAAGATTTAAGTTAAAAGGAGTAGAAAGAAGGTTTTTGGGTTAGTATGGGACTCAAAGTTTAAACTGGAATAGGTTGATACGAGTTAAAAGGGTTTAGAATGGGTTGATTTATAATTGAGGTAATAAATGAGAGCTAGGACTAAAGTTGGAATAGTTTAAATTCTCAATTTTATCATATTTTAAGAATAACTAATTTATAATTTTTCAATTTGATCTGAATGACGTGCGAGGATTCAAATTACTTAAAACTACTTCAATAATAATTTATAAATTATATTTAATAGATGAATGAATATCGTTTAAACGGTTTAAATGAATCCCACTGTATGGTATAAACATATCAAGTTAGATTAGCTTATAAATAGATAATTACAGAGGAGGCAGATCAGAAAGGTGGGAGGGGGGGGAAGGAGACTGGGAAAGGGGGGAAGGAGACTGGGAAAGGTGGACAGCTTTGAACCTGAGAATCTAAGATGAGTTTAGGTTTGGATAATAATGGGTTCGGATAAAGTTGGTTACAATTGATTTTTCATGATTTTTCTAATCTTAGGTTTGGTTGGTTGTGAGTAGAATTAGATCAGGTTATTATTAGATGGGTTAAATTAGAATTAAATAATCAGAATTGTAAGATTAGAAGTTAATTTAAAGGATTTAATGATACGTTCAATTTAGGATTCGTTGGAAAGAGTAGGATTAGAAGTAGATTAAAATGATTTAACTCCATTTTGATTAGAGAATAAAATGACTGTTATAAGATTACATTAGAGGGATTAAAGTATGATTGTTTAGATGGATTAAATTTGGATTTTATTATAATATTTAGATTAGGATTAGAGTTGAAGATTGAAAAAGGGATTAGGTTGGAAGGATTAAGTATCCTTAAAAGGGATTAGGTTAGAAGGAATGTTTTAGGATTGGATTGTTAATTCTTTAATTGTTGGATATCATTGATTAGAAAAAGTGTTGCAGGTGTTGGATCGCTAATATAGCTCATTAATGGGTAATTAGAGTAGTTCACGGTGTGTATAGAGGGGGCCCTAGGCTATGCTCAGCTGGGGGGCCATGGTCCATACCCTAGCTGCAGGGTCCTAAACCGAGACCTACCAGCACACATCTCTTAAACCCCATTTTTTCCAAGCTTTCTGCCGATCATCGTCATGATGAAGAATATACTTCAGATGGTTTATTTAACTTTGGCTTTTTTTTTATATTTTTTTCTTTTGAAAATTCATTAACTAACATTTTATATTTATGAAAGAACCCCCCCCCCTCCCATTATATCTCTAAGTGTCCCCCCCTTGTTGACTGTCCAATGAGAGTGTCACCTGTCCCGTCTCCTCTCCGTCCTTTTCTCTCATTGGTTGAATCTGTCAACCGGGGGGGACTGTCACCAGGCCTTACCCTGCCTGGAAAACTCTGCTCCCCCTCCCTCTGCTCGGCCTCCACCCACCCCCCCCCCTCACCCGGATCCCTGGGTTGGTGTGACCAATGTCCAGGATGTCCAGGGTATTCTATACGGAGGCTGGAGGCTGGTGACCGGGCGGGGTGTATATGAAGCCCCCGGTATCCCCGCTACTCCGGTCCTCCCCCCGCTCCCATATATGTGATTCTAACTGACAGTGAGAGCTAAGATACTCTAGACACAGCGGCACTCAGCTCAGGGTATACTAGGATACTAGGTTTACTCAACCAGTAGATAGAACACGTTTATAAATACAACCCTGCTCCTAGAACTATACATGTGCTATTAAAATAATGTCCTGAATTGGTCGAATTAGTGCATAGTATCCATTAGTGATAGTGAACAAGAGAAAAGCAGTGAACCTCATGGTTCCCAGTATGTTAAACTACACTAGGAGAAGAATGTGAGGAATTAAAAAAAAACGACTTCCCTGACTAATGTAAGTTAATATTTTTTTTCAGAATTTAGTGTTTATACTTTTCTTATTTTACGATCAGTTTCTCAGGCCGGTGCTTAAAGACATTGCTTTGATATGATGATCTGAAATCAGTTTGTAAACTTTTATGTTTTATTTCCGTGGGATCCGGGAGATAGATACTAGACAGGATCAACAGAATCAATCCTAATTTTCTTCAGTTTAAACCTTTTTTTCTCGTAAAAAAATTGAAATAATTAATGGCGACAGAAAAGATTATTCTGAATCCAATGAAGGCTTTCTCTGCTATGTTAACTTTTTATTTAACGATCAAATTTGAAAAATTTCAAAATCACTTTTTTCAGCACAGTAAAAAAAATGCAATCACTTTAAACACATATACACTTTTAAAAACTGTGCACACTAACAATTAAAACATTAAACACGGACGCTTTAGACAATTGACAATAAAGACATACTAATAAAAACTAGACACATGAAACAGAAACATCTTACATAGACACTTTATATAATAGACAGCTAGTCGGTAGACAAGACATATAATCAGACACTTTATATAGTCTATATACAAACAAGACGGACTAGACTCGATGTATAAACTAGACAAGTTTTAGCACAAAAAAAAAGAAATTAGAAAGACCAGAAAAGTATTACGAACTAGACAGACTAGACAAAAAATACGAACTAGACAGACAAGACACAAAATACGAACTAGACAGAGAAGACACATAGTAAGAAGTAGATAGAGTAGACACATAAAACGAATTAGACAGAGTAGACACATAATAAATACTAGACAGTTTAGATACGAGAAAGAAACTAGACAGACTAGAAAAATATTAAGAACTAGACAAACTAGACACATAATACAAACTAAACAGAGTAGACATATAACACGAATTAGACAGAGTAGACACATAATAAAACTAAACAGTTTAGACACAAAAAATAAACTAGACAGACAAGACACATAATACGAACTAGACAGACTAGACACAGAATAAAAACTAGACAACTAGAGAGACACATGATACAAAATAGACAGAGTTGACACATAATATAAGCTAGACATTTTAGACACGAATAAGAAACAAGACAGAGTAGACGCAAAATACAAACTGGACAGTTTAGACAGAAGAGACACACAAAGCACAATAGACAGCTTGAGAGTGAAATCTGGGAAGAATATGACAGAGCAGTTTTAAATGTCACTCCGAGAATAAAAGAAGGAAAACAATCCCGAGAACTCAGAGTGTGTCGAGGAGGGGAGAGGGTAGATAAAGGACATGTAGAGGTTACTGGGGGGAGGGGGGAGGGTAGATAAAGGATGTATAGAGATTAATGGGGGGAGGTGGGTGTGGGGTGGAGTAAAATACAGAATAATGAAAGAAAAGTGAAGAGCACAGTAAATGAAGAAAACAGATCAGGGTTTAAAATAACAGAAGAAGAATATTATACGATAAAAGAGATTTTAAACCCAAATAGAATTTAGAGAAAAATAAAGAAATATTAATCTTTTTAAATAAGTCGGAACAAATGTGAAGAAATACATATATATAGAAGTACAACTGTAACCAGACACTAGCTTTAAACAAATATTATTTTCAATTTCATTTTTCAAGCATTTATTTTACCAGAAGATTTTCAGCCTGACAAGGATGTTTAAAGACTTGAAATACTGAAACCCAACGCATTGTTTGCAAATATATAAAGTTTTCCTGAACACAGCAGAGAACAAAAACTGTGTCCGCCACTTCAACTTGTTTAAAGAAGTTTGTGACTGTTGCCAGAGTTGAACCTGCTCCTGTCTTCAGTCTCTTCTCATAGAAAAACAATTTTAACTTCAACCCTTTCTCCGATTGTTTAGAAAAATTAAAACGTCTTTTTTAATTTTCCTTTTTTTCAGTCAATTACATTTTTTCTTCTTCAATTCAGTTGATAACATTTTCTTCTTCATTGATTACATTTTTTTCTTCAGTTGATTACATTTTTCTTCTTCAATTGATTGCATTTTTTTCTTTAGTTGATTACATTTTCTTCTTCAGATGATTACATTTTCTTCTTCAGTTGTTTACATTTTCCTTCTCCAGTAGATTTGCATTTTCTTCTTCAGTTGATTACATTTTCTTCTTCAGTTGATTACATTTTCTTCTTCAGTTGATTACATTTTCTTCTTCAGTTGATTACATTTTATTCTTCAGTTGATTACATTTTATTCTTCAGTTGATTACATTTTCTTCTTTAATTGATTACATTTTCTTCTTCAGTTTATTACATTTTCTTCTTCAATGGATTACAGTTATCTTCTCGTAATATACTCCTAATCTCATAATCTTCTATGCCACCTTTATACTTTCGTACACTAACTAATCTCCTTTTTTATCCTTAGCTCCCTCCGCCTTGTCCTTAATTTACCAATTCACTGAACCCCGCCCCCTTTCTTTTCATCCCCTTCGCCCCCTTGAACCCCCCCTCTCATCTCTCCTGTCCAGAATACATTTCTCAATTTGTTTGAAAACAAACAAATCTGTTCTTATCTCTGCTTGGTTTCCATATCTGCTGAAACTATGCTCCGGGATGGTATAATCTATATCTAGGATTATCAACAAGCACTGTCTGATTCAGAATTTAATTTCTAAAATTTTGCAAATATTTGCTGATTACTTTAGGACAAAATAATTAATAAAAGTCGTATTTTAATTACTACCTGATATCCTGGTTTTACATTACTACTAAAATTATAGGGTTTGAATTATCCTAGGTATCCTAGCTCTTACTTACTCTATGGTTTGAGAAACTCCTGATATCTTTGGTTTAAAAAGGTTTATTTCCTGATCCCTGCTCTGTATCTATTATCTTGTGCATGATCTTAAACACACACCGAACACTCTCAAATCCTACTCAGTACTTCCTGCAGGATTCTTAATCTTCATTATAATCCGCCATATTGTTAACTTATTCTTATTTTTACCATCTTGGTCGCCACATTAAATAATCTGCCTCAGTTTATCTTCCATCCCATAATATCCGGCCAACGCCTAATAAGATCATTCGCCTCATTTTCTTCTCCGTCTTATTCTATTTTTCGCCTTATTGTTTCCTCCGCCCATATTGTATCATCCGCCTCATTCTATCCTCCATCTCAGTATATCCTCCGCCTCAGTATATCCTCCGCCTTATTATATCCTCCATCTCATTCTATCCTCGCCTCATTATATCCTCCGCTTCATTATATCCTCCATCTCATTCTATCCTCCGCCTCTTTTTATCATCCGCCTCATTCTATCCTCCGCCTTAATCTGTAGAGGATTTTCCACTAGATTCTCCGCAGTATCTTTTGCCTCATTTCCTTACAATTTTCCTCACTTTTCCTCCGCTATACATCCTCCTCATTTTTCTATTCACCAACCCCTTATCCTATCATTTAGTTTTCCTTATTTTCCTTAATCTTCCCTTCTTCCATATTTATCACTTTCTCTTCATTTTATGTTTTCCAGCACACCGTTCTACTATAGTCCAACTAATTCCTCCATTCCCCAGAGATAACAATCTATCCATCAGAATAGCCACGTAACAGATATTAGCATTTTTTAATATTCATATATTTTTATAATTCAGTTTTGCAATAAATGATGATATATCTGAATAAATGAAGGACCTAGTTATCTCAGTAATCTGAGAGAGATGATTTAGAAACCACACCTGTCAATTCTATTCCTACCTCATAAAAATTCGTTTTCTGCTTTTTTAATGTAAATATCACAAAGGAATTTCAATAAAAAAATCTAAAATTACAGGTAAAACATATATTGATAGTTTTGAGAATATTTTAGAAAAGAATTTGGTTTGAAGTTAGGGTTAGTGTTTATGTATCTCTGAAAAGTGTTAAACTGTCAAAAGAATAAATATCTGAGAATATAAACTTAATTCAAATCCTAGAAATGTTTTCAAATCGACACGAAACCCTTTTCAGTTCCAAAGAATTCGTAGACAAAAATTAAAAACAAATTAATTATTTAATATTTTTTAATTTTTTTAAACTTCAAGTTTCTTCAGGCAAAATACGAAGGACATGAATGTCGAAGTTTCATTTATTATTAAATTTATTTCTTCCCTAATTATTTAATTTCTTTAAATCATTGATTTGTCCATTTTTCCGACTAAAATTAATGATGTATCTTTTTATGACTCATTCTGTTTCTTTAATTTTTCGTATCAAATCATTTCTTCGATACAGATCAATTTCTTTTACTAGTTATAAATATATACATATTTTTTTCTTCTTTTTTTTACTAAAATTCCCGGTAATCATTTATTCAATAAATTCATTTTATTCATTTTTTCGAAATTGGATCAATTTTATTAATTCGTAAATTTAAGTAATTCCTTTGATATATTTATCATATAAATGAAATTCATTAATTTCATCCATTTATCTTATACATTCATCCTATTCATTAATTCCATCCATTTATCTTATACGTTCATCCTATTCATTGATTTCATCCATTTATCTTTTACATTCATCCTATTCATTAATTTCAGCTAATTATCTTATACATTTATGATATTCATTAAGTTCATCCTTTGTCTTATACATTTATGCTATTTATTAATTTAAGCAATTTATCTTATACATTCATGATATTCATTAATTTCATCCATTTATCTTACACATTCATCCTATTCATTAATTTCCGTAATTTATCTTATTCGTTCATGATATTAATTAATGTCAGCTAATTATCTTATATATTCATGATATTCATTAAGTCCTTTGTCTTATACATTCATGATATTTATTAATTTCAGCCATTTGTCATATAATTTTATGATATTCATTAATTTCTGTAATTTATCTTATACATTCATGATATTCATTTATTTTCGTAATTTATCTTATACATTCATGATATTCATTAATTTAAGCTATTTATCTTATACATTCATGATATTCATTAATTTAAGCTATTTATCTTATACATTTATGATATTCATTAATT